GGGTGGGCAGTTATTTCAGCTGGAGCGCCACTTAACTCGTTTTAGTTAGCTGTTGAGGGCTGCACACACAGAATCTTTTAGAAAATATCATTTTAACAAGTTATAGATTAAAAACAAGTCATATACTAAAACACCCCCCCATCTACTGTAGCATATTTTAATTTTATTTCAAAAAATATTTTTGTCCCAATTTGTTTTTTGAGTAGCATATATAGAGACAATTGCATAATAGCTCAAAATATATCTAATTTGTGTATAGTGTGTGTGGGGGAGCATGGGGGGGGTGTATGTGGGGGGAGCTGGCCATGTGCTAGATCCCAGGAGCTGGCTGGGGGTGAAGGGAGGGAGGGGGAGCAAGGGGTGCATGCAGCAGAGCTCACCAGGGGAGTGCAGATGCAAATACAATCCTCCCTCCCCACCCATCCAGCCCACAGCTCTCCATGTGGGGCTGAGCCTGGCCTACTCCCTCTTGGGGCAACCTGCATTTCCTGGAGGGGCTGCTTCCAGTGCAGTTGAACTGAGAACTGCGTGGCTTCCCCTGCCTCCGGCAGCATCTCCTCCTGATGCTGCCGTGACACTCTGGTTGTGGGGGAAATGGCAGCCAGGCGGCTCCAGCTCCAGCTCCCGGCTGCCTTCCACACACTCCGCCCACTTGGCACGATGAACAGCCACCTGCAGGCAGCTGAATGGGGGATGGCAGCCAGGATCTGGAGCTGGATCCCTGCGTCGTGGAGCAGGAGCTGCCCAGCTGCAGCTCCCCCACCTTGCCTGACTGGGCATATGGTGCCCAGCATGAGTCCCCTTGGCCACCATTGCTTCCCTACACTGCCTGCTGCCTGGAGCAGTGAGTGGATCAGGGGCAGGAGAAGAAGCCTCTGGAGGCACGGGGAGCAGAACAGTACCCAGGGGGCTGGGGCTGGGGCTGGAGCAGATGAAAGTGTAGTGCAGGCTGCCTCAGGCAGGAACGGGCAAGGCTCAGCCCCTTGTGGAGCACCGTGGGGGCAGCCATGGGCAGATCCAATCAATTGGCAAGGACCCACCCTCAGGCCAATCAGTTGGTGGTCTGGATCTGCTCTGCAGGTCCTATTTTGCCTCCCCCTGAGCTAATAGTATGTGTTGGGATATGGTTACCGTTATCAGTGCTGAACTCCATTCCAGATGTAAGGATCATCAACTCTGAAATGGTACATTGGTTTTCTCCTTCTGAGGTACATGGAGATGTGGGGTAGGCTTTCAAACTACTTGGATGTCTCCTTGTTTTCTACCAAATGGCATTGTTTATTTTCATTTACCTTAAGGAAGTCAATCTTTTTCTTTCTCTTTCACATATTGTTGTGGGTTGGCTGTTTGCATGCATGTAGGAGATGCCATGGAATAATGCATCAAGTATTGGACTGGGACTTGGGAAGCCTACGTTGCGTTCCCAGGTTTGCCAGTCATCTGCTGGGTGTTTTGGGGCAACTCAATTTTTAGTGCTTCAGTTTTCCCACCTATAAAATGGGGATAATGTTATTGGTAAAGTGCTTTGAGTACTTGAAAGTGCTTTGCTGAAAAACACTAGGTAAGAGGTGGGTATGCTACTATTATCTAAAACACAGAATAATCCCATACATAGCTCAAGTTTATCTTCTGTGCTGACCTTCGATGTCTACTGTGGAACATAGCCATTCTTTGAATTTTATAGGTGAATCTGGTTCTCTTGCATGTAGTCATTTTATGGTACTAGCTAGAGGTAGGTATAAGACAGGCAGATGCTACTCAGACATAACCTTTCCAATACAGCTCAGACCTCACCCGCAAGGATCTTTGCTGTTATAGCTCTTGTCCCCTCCTATTTTGGCACTGCTACCTCTGTCAGAGTCTCTGCTGTGATGTGGACCTAATTTTTCTGTAGGAATAAAGGAGTTCTATCAAACCTTAGGCCAGATCCTTTGGTCTGTTTGAGTTATGCTAAGCGCAGGATCTGTGGTGGGAGAGTAAAAGTGTTTTGACGTTCCTTTTGTGTTTTTCTGATCCTGGAACCAGATATGAGCCAAGATAATCAGCCCCTGGAGCAAGGTAGGGCATAGCTACATGGCAAAATTCAGTGCTGTACTGAAATACTTGAGCTGGCTTCAGGACCAGAAGCAGTAGAGTTGCATCAGCTTGGTGATACCTTGGGTGAATTAGCTCTGCCTGGTCTGGACTAGTTCAAGTGTCTCTGTCTATCATTGTGTTGCGCAGACATAGCATTAAAGCATTGTCAGAGCTGGTTCAGGTTATGCCAGTGATAACAATCCCAGATCTCTGGTGTGCTCTATCTGCTTCTGTCAGTCCTGGGGTGGGGAACAGATGACTCAACACCAGCAAGGATTTGCTTTTGCAGGTGAAATGTCTATTTGCTTTGTTAAGTACCTCTCCATCCACAGCACTCCTCTCCCACAATACTGAGGGGATAGAGCAGATGCCAAGGAACTGGCCTTCAACCTATCTTTTGAACCTAGACCTCCAAAGGACCCAGAACTACTGTGCAAACTATTAGCTTTTATTTTGATTTTACTACCATTTAACCAGGGCAGTGTTTCTCCTGAGGACTCTTTCCATGTCAATGGAGTGTGTATTTGCTTAAATTTTCTATTTGAAAAGTGTATATTCATTTTCTTTCTCTCACTCTCTCTCTCTTTTCAAGTGTGAAGTATCTACCCTTTAGGACCCCTTTAATTAAATTTCCATCAAACCCCTCTGTAGCCAAAGAACTAGGCCCAGACGGTGTAATCAATACTGTCCCACTCTGTGCTGCAAATCTGTACTCCGCCACTGTGACAAGAACATTCCCTGAGGCTGCTCACTGAAGGGTTAATGAAAAACTGCTTTGTTGGATTTATAACTCACACCACACGTGCAGTGCCTGACAACTGTCTTTCATTTAGAGTTCAGAATCTTTATTTTTTGATAATTGAAAACTGTATTTTTCAAGTCAGCTTCAAAAGACACACACAACACCATGAGATGGACGATGGCCAAACTAATTCACTAGTCTGTGTGTACAAGGCAAGGGAAGTGAGTCCAAGCTATGAAAGTAAAAAAAAAAAAAAAAAGGTCGTCTTAAATCAGATTATTTCAAGAAATGTGCAAACCAAGTTATCAGTTTACAAATACACCTTGTAAAGAATCTAGCATTCAAATACCACCCATGCAGCTGCCATTCTGTATCCAAGAGCTAAAGAATCATGAAGCTCCCAGTGCCATTGTACCCAGAAGAGTGTGTCTACAAAAACAACAGGCAGGTTAAAACAGAACGTAGATAGAGTTTCAGATCTGCCCTCACCACTGAAGCATCCGGGTGCCTTCCAGTAGTGCCTTGAGCAATGTGATTAATCTTTTGCTTTTTTGTCTCATCCTCTTCCCTAGGGGACAATAGCGTGTGTTGTATAGCGTTTTGTTTTGGTAGGTTTTTAGTCTTTGAGGCTTTTATTTTCTCAACATTTTATAGTTCTTCCTGCATAATGACCCCCAGATTCAACTTGCTCAATTTACAAAGCAACTGATAGCTTTTCTATAACTATAAGGCCTTGTCCGGGGCCTGAAAAATCCAGCTGCACCCGTACTGTCCCTTATATTGTCTTAATAATAATTAAATTAGACCTTTGTTGGCAACTCATCAGGCAAAATGAAAAGTAACTTACTCTCCCATAGCTGACTAGGTTGTGCAGCACTTGTAAACCTCTCAGCTTAGTACCACTAGTAAGTCTGGCATCTCTGAACACACGCAGGGGAGCAATTCTATTGAGAAAGGAGGAATCATGTTTACAAAGGGCAAATGGAAAAATGTATATTAATTCCATTTTCAAATGTTCCTATCCCATTTAAACACCCAAGTCTCACTGACTTTCAGAGGGCTTTCAGCTTTTTGAGTGACTTGGTTTGTTGTCCTTGTGGGGAAGTTAGGGTACAGTGATTTACAGGAAATAACTACTCCCCAGTGACGACTCTAGGCCGTACTAAATGCAAGGTAGCTTGCTCCAGTTTAGTATCCACTAGTAATGTCCACACAGGGAATTTGCACAGAGTGGATGCATCTACACAAGATGCTAAGAGTGCAGTAGACTAATTCAGTTGTGCATTAGGACTTCACAGTGAAAACCATGCTAATGTGCAGTAGATTAGTCTACTGAGCATTAGTGTCACGTAAAAGATATGTGCCTGCACTATTGTTCCGTACTGCCAGTTACAGTGCATTAGGTTAGTACCTCTTATCACACGTACTAACCTTAATGTGCCATAATTTCAGCTCATTAATGCACATGTACACATGCCCAGTAAGTATTACCTGTAAATACTAGCTTACTATACACCAACCTTCCCAAGTGGACAAACTCCTACATGATTAATATCACTTGGGTGAAAGTCAGTGAAACTTATGTGCTGAAATGACATGGATTTTTTTTTAATGGACTCTGTGTACATGCTATCAATACTTATGATTACATCTGTTTGCATATTTGAGTAGATTGAGTAACTGCATCAAAATACCCATTTGGAAGGGCAGTTGGCTAGTCTGTATAAGCTTACCAAGCAGCTGTAATCAGAAGAGTGACTCTATAAACGTGACAGACAAGTTCTGTTACAGTCTACAGAGAGTAAATGCTATAGATGTAATAAATTTGAGTTGGTCTAATAAAAGATATCAGATTTACCCAAAGAAACTTGTCTGCTCATGGGTGCCATTAAAAATCTTTATGAACACCATTAATCCAAAATCTCCTTCTCAAATTCCCTTTAAAGAGATTGTCGCTATTTCTTACAGCAAACTTCCAATACTAGAACTTAAAATGCTTCCACGTGTGTCATGCATGATGAGCATCCCATACACATGCAGAGAAACTATTACATGAAGCTATGCTGAATTAGTTTACTTCCCCTTTGCAGAAATGACAGCTTTGTGTTGTTAAGTGACAGTCTGTGTCTTAGCCTAGCTAAACCTCAGTAACTGATTCACAGCCTCTTTTGCTGGTTTCTAGATTTTGCAGAGTTTGTATTCCTGGGTCTGTTCCTTACTGAGATGTCCTTGAAGATGTATGGACTGGGGCCAAGAAATTATTTCCACTCCTCATTCAACTGCTTTGACTTTGGGGTAAGCTGACATCAGCTTCACAGGCTAAACTTTCTTTATTGAACAATGGGTGATTGATGGTGATGGTGGGAGGGCAAAAGTGAATCAGTTACTATTCTTTGACTGCCTTTTGTAAATCAGGTACAGCAACACGCAATAAGAAAACTAACTAATCACAAAAGCACGTCTAAATAAACTTGCAGTAAGTATTTTCCTTTTAAGAAACGTAATAAGGAGAACTAGTTTCCTGCATAAATTGCGTAGTAGATCATCACAGGGATATTCTCATCAGCAGTATCAGTAAGTGCTCTGGTTACTGTGAGATACTCTCTCCATTTAAAATGGAGTTTTTCTTTTTAAAATAATATTTCCCTTTTTTCTGTTCCCTACCATGCAATCAGACACCTGCCACTCAAGATAGTTGGTGGTGATTTTCAATTTTGAGTTCTCAGTGTTAAACACACAAACCCATAATCAGGCATCACTAATAAAAGTAGTAGCATTTGGGGGAGCTGCTGAGCATATGACAATGATTTAAAGATTGGTGCACTGCACCTGTAAAAATCAAGCCCTTGTTTGGGTGTCTAAATTATTTTGGATGGATTTTAATGCTTGTCTTTAACCACTACAATTTAAAAGGTTAGGAAATAAATACCCAACGATTGGGACAATCTGAGTAGGGTTTTGAAACTATCATGTGGTATAGAAGGAGAGTCATGAATTTAGTCCCCCAGCAAAAAAATCATGCATATTTAACAAAATCTACAGTGGTCTACACTGCTTGCAACAGTTACTGAAGTTTTGGGGGAAATTACTGAAGAATACTTCATGTTCTTTAGGATGTTGGGGAATAGTTAGTTAATCATTTATGAAAGCGGTTTTTATTGTTTACTCCTCCTTTATTTACAATTAAATGTAGGGCCTGATTTAACACTGGCTGACCCTCACTGTATTTACACTAGTACAAAACTGTAGAAGTGCACTGACAAATCCAGCTCAGATTCTTCTTCATCTAGTAATCTACTACTTCACCCCTGATGCCAGTACAGGAAGATACAGTGATATCTGAATGAGTACCTGGTTATGCAGGATGCAGTCATTGCTGGGCAACATGCCACAGTTGCTCAGAACTTATGATGACAGAGAGTATAACACTCAGATCCTTGTGTTTCAAAGCCAGAGGTCCTGTCCCCCTTCAGCTAAAAGGTAATCTTGGTTACATATGAACAGTATAAAATCCATGACCCATAGTTAATCCATTTTGATTCCAGTAAAGACAAGTCTGTGCTGGCAACTTTTGCTTGTTAAGTTGGGCTAAACTGGCTTCACAGGGGTTCACACAACTTCTGTCATCTTTAATGAGAACTGTGTACCTAAATCCAAACCCAGGATCTGTCTGCAGTATTTCCTGTCTTGTACACTAACTCTGAAACTCAAGGTGCAATTGCCATTCTCTCCACAATCATGGGCTAGGGACAGACATTACACATAAACCAGTTTAAGTAATCAGAAACTGGTTTAAACCTGTAATAGAACAGATGTTCAGGCCACATAAACCAGTTTGAAAAAGGCTGAAACTGGTTTGACCCAAATCCATTAAGTCTGATACTACATTGAATGACTGAATGTAGTATCAGACTTAATGGATATGGGTCAAACCAGTTTATGCAATGCCTTTCCCAGACCCCTCCCTGGTTTCAGTTAAACCAGGCTCCCCCAGCATGCTCTCCAGGCTGGGCAGGGCTCGCTGCTCTCTGGCTGGAGCTCTGGCAGAGAATGCAGGTGTCTGCCTGGCTTCCCCCTGCTCTTCCCCTCCCCTCACAAATCCTTGCTAAGCAGGGATCCCCCATCCCCTTTGCCTTACACAGACACCTCTCAGCATTAGCTAGCAGAGCACATGCTGGCAACAGTCCGTGCTGTGGGAGACCAGACAAAGGGAGACAGGACAGGCTTAGGGCTCTTTGGAGCTAATCAACACTCCTCCCCCAGCTCAACACTGTGGAAGGGAAGGGAGGGCTGCTCTAGCACTTCCCGGCCTCTAGCCTGAGCCACTGCAGGCATGTGCCTACATTTTGTCAGTCCAGGGGGGGATGTCTGTACAGTTACAAACTGATTAAGTCTAGGCAGGGTTGACTAACCTGCAAAGGTTGAATCAATTAAGCCTCAGCCTTTTTGAATGTCTGTCCCTACTGTCTGTTTCCGTTTAGGGTGGGAGGAGATGACCTAGGGCATCTCATGTCTTTTTGTCAGTTCTCCTGGGTGATGGTCTTTAGACTTGTGCACACTGATAATGGTTCCCTTTCCCCATTGACTGACTATTTCTCCACCGCTTTCAGAATCTCAGAATTGTGCTACTAGATCTCATTTTGCCTTTGGCAAGTGCACCCCCCTCCCTGTCCTCCAGATTAATCATCATAGCTGACATTACAACTTGGCATTCTTAGCAAGGAGACCAAGGATGTATTAGGCTAGTGATCTGGTCCTAGAAGTTCTTTGTAGAACTAAATGAGGCACAGTCAGGGTCAGTCTGTGTGAAGCATCAGGTGTGTCATCACTCTCATGTGAAAAACTTTGCTCTGCAGGAGTTGTGATCCATTACCTTTCACTGCTTCTTCAAGGAAGAGGGAAATAAACCTTAGTCAAGCATAATATCTATTTTGAATTCTAGGGATCATTCAGGATACACAGTGCTTAGGACTAGAGTTGCAGATACAGCTTCACAGTTCTGCAGCAGCAAACTGCAGCAGAAATGATTCTGGGTGCAATATTGCATCTATAGTCACTAGCACACATAATATAAAGGGTGCAATATTGCACCTGCAGTCACTAGTACCCATAAGGTAAAGATATCTGTGTCCTCCCTTTGGGGCATAATTCATGAAGGTTATCTAAACTAAAGACACCAGGTCCTTGTCTGAATCTGAAAAATAGAAGACCTGACAAAAAACATGGTCAAGGACACACATTGTGGCTGAGATTTTCAAAGACAGCTAAAGAATATGACGCCCAACTACCATTGAAAATAAATGGGAGTTAAACACCCAGCAACCTGACTCTTTTGGAAATCCTAGGTGGGGTGAGCTGTGCCAAGAAAATTAGTTAGATTTTTAAGGTTTATAATTAGGCATGTAATTTCTTTGCTTCATTTTTGCCTTATATTCCATCCTAGTGAAAGGTGCTCTATTCACAAAAGAGGGACTGCACCATAAGGTCAGGCTCTCTCATGATATCTGCTAGTTTCCCCTCCATGTATTTCATAAACCTCATTATTATTCATAATGCTGCATCCACAAGGAAGAGACCTTGTACCTGATCTTCAGGGACAGATGATTTAGGAATTTTATATTAAACACAGAACAAATCCACTGGGCCCATCTGCTTTCCTTCATGCCTTACTCAGTGTAGCATTGGTAGTAAGCTCTGCAGACTGTGAGTCCCCTAAGGGAGAGGGGGCTGATCTTTTTCTAATTCTTCTTCTAAAGGAGAACCTACTGGGAGCCTATATCTAGCTGTGTGTCTTCCCCTCACCCACCTTCCCTCCCCAAATTAATTCAGTTTCTTCAGCTTCTTTGGAACAACACACAATTCTCTAGTTTGACAAACCATTGGGATGAAACAGTTCAAATGCAAAACAGAAAAGCAACAAAACAGAAAGACATCGGCCCCGTGAGGAATAGCCCCTGAGGGTCTTTTGTGGAATTACTCCCAAGGGGTCATTTTAATATGGCACAAAAATTAACTATGAGTTTGCAACTCAGATCTGAGGGAAGTTATTTACTGATACAAAATGGATCCCTGAGACTGGTACATTATAAAGGAGCGGAGAGTTTCTTAAAATCTTTGATTAATTCTTCTAATGGTAACAAGTGGATGAGTGATTGGGAATATACAATGCCCTTTTGTTTGTAGGACTTCTTGAACCAAGGAATTATTGGGTGGCATTTCCCTTTCCCTTCACCTAAACCAGTTTTAGCTTATCAGCGGAGTTATATTGTGCTAAAAGGGAGCTGGAATTTTGTATCCAAATGGAGTGTCCAGACTGTTGACGATCTCATACCATTGCTCAGAGTGTAGTACAGGTACAGGTTTTTTGTCTGTTCATCATAGTTTTCCATAAAACTCCATGGATTTGGTATAACAACCCTCCCTCTTCCCCCCCAAAAAGAGAAATTGCGAAGAAATGTCCATATTATTTTACCATTTAAGTAGTGACCAAATTACTTTTACCGGATTTACTTGAATATAAGATGACCCCCAATAATTAGATTCTATATAAGGAAAATGTATAAATTTGTTATGATTTTTCAGGTGTAGAATCTAATTATTGGAGGTTTGCCTTGGATTACTCCCCCTCCAACTGCTACAGCACAGAAAATAAATTGAGGTGGGGAGTAGCTCACTTATCCTCTGCACCCCACCCTACAATTCCTTCCCCCTTCCTTACTGTTACACCCTGCTCTCCCTAGGCACATGGAAGTGAGGTCCAAATTTGAAAACAGTGAACTTGAAATAAACATACTTGTAGTAATTTGTATATAAACAAATGATTGCAAATACCCATAGACTTGGTTCATCTGGAACTCTTGCATTTTAACTTTCTGGAAACTGCTGCAAATTTTAGTACAGGTACTCCATAAACACACTTTTAAGCAGCACTTTTTTACCAACTTATACGAAACGCAAAATATATACTTTTAAAATGTTGTTTCCAAGGCCAGATCAGTTCTGAATTAAGTGCAATCCTTTACTGGCCTTTCAGCCTTGTAGAGCCTGCATAGTATGAGTTGTTATGACAGCCTCTGATGAGCTGCTAGTCTGATCTGGGTGGGCTGCAGCTGAAATGGGGAGAGCCTTGGCTCTGAGCTCTCAATACAGTGGCCAGCGCACCGGAGCTGGAGATAGTGCTCCTGGAACAGTGTGGCTATGGATTTTGCACCCTTTCAGGCTGGATTGTAGAATTACAAAGCTAAAGCTATTGTCTCTGAGAGTTTAGGGTTTTTCTTGCTAATTCCTTGAGTATGCAAACTGTATTGGCAGTCCCCATTAGAATCCCATCAGACTTCACAATCTATCTCTCTTTCAGTCCCTGGGGAACCAAAGCCATGGCTGGTTGAACAACTGTTTTTCCTTCTTAAAATGGATTATTCTTGCAGGTGATTGTGGGGAGTATTTTTGAAGTTATCTGGGCTGCAGTGAAGCCTGGTACCTCATTTGGCATCAGTGTATTGAGGGCTCTTCGACTGCTGAGGATTTTCAAAGTAACCAAGTAAGTGTGGGATTCCATTTACTCCCTTTGGATAGTTAACGCAGTGTGAATGTTCACATCATTACCATATAAGCAACAGCGTTCCCTGCTTGCCTTGCATACTTATAGAGCCATTGAGAATATTGGTCACTGTTGCTGTCCCAGGCTGCCTTGTTGCCAAACTGGAACAAAAGCAGCATGTCTGATGCAAGTCTTAACACAATCTGTGGCTAGCATACTAGGCCATCAGTGCTACAGCTGTGCAGGCCATACTGACTAAGATACCCTACTACTGTAGGATGAGATTAAGTTGAACTGATGCCATAGCAAAGGCACTTGCATTGCCACTGCCTCATAGGAATGTCCTGAGGCCCATAGTTTCCAAGTAAAACTTGGTGGCCAAAGCTTTTCACTTGTTCTTTCTTGTGTGTCCAATTAATGTTCATTGGAATGAACCACACACCTCTTGGGGAATATATTAATCTATTTAGAACAACATGTGCAGGCTGTTAAAATTGTTACTATAAAATTAATTGTTAAAATTACTTCAAATATTTGGGTGGTCATGCTGGTTTGGTTTTTTCCATCAAATGAATTTACTCATCCCTTTCTTCTTTTTAATTATCTATTTGTTTTAGCAGAAGGAGAACAAAGGGTTTTACAAAGGGAAATCTAGTTTTTTTAACTTGGTCAGATTCTGAACTTGGATGCTTAAATTAGCCAACTGGCATATATAAAATTACCACTGAAGTACCCGTATACTTCTCTGGGCATTCATGTGCACAGTTCTGATATCCTTTAGGCCATGGGTGGGCAAAATGCGGCCCGGGGGCCAGATGCAGCCTGCCAGGCCATTCTATCTGGCCTGCGGGGCCCCTAAAAATGTAGAAAATTAATATTTATCTGCCCTGGGCTGCCTGTCATGCAGCCCTTGATGGCTTGCCAAAACTCAGCAGGCGGCCCTCTGCCCAAAATAATTGCCCAACCCTGCTTTAGGCCCTGTAGGATTAGCTGAATTAACATATATTGGTCACTTTGTGGAAACAGTTTTTAAATACAAGTGTCTGAGGAACTCCAGACCTTCATACATTGTCAGATGATCAAGAGACCAGGAAAAAAAAATCTTAAAATTATAAGCAGACATGTCCAGAAGGTACCAAAACTTGTCTCATAGAAAGTGCTTAGTCAAACCAAATTTCTGATAGCCTGTAGGTGAATGATTCCACCTGTCTTAATAATTTTGTAGCAATTAATTACCAGCAATGAAGTTAGCCCTGGCCCACAAGAGTTTATAAACTTTTTTGGACTCTTAAGAGTTTTAAATCTATTTATAAGTTAAGAAGATATTTCTGCTATCTTTCACCAGCTTTGAACAATTGAATATTTCAGCTAACGGTATGACTTTATACAGCCGAGACAAGAAGTCAGTAGAATCATTTCACATATTACCAGAAAGTCAGATACCCTGCTGTCTTGCAGCATACTGGCTGAAATCAATGTAAAAAATCCCACTAGCTCAATTGAAGCTAGGATCTCACTCAGTACCTTAAAAATTGCTGCCTAGCAGCATAGACTGTTCTCTGTGTAGGTACTGGACCTCTTGGATTGGTTGACGTTTCTGGTACACAGTCTGGTGTCTGACTGGCCATGTTGATGAGGACACACTTCCCAGGTCCAGCACAGCTGGCTACGGGATAGTTTAAAAAGTTAAAAGGGAAAGAGGTACAAAGACTGTGTTACTTCTGTCCAGTTCTCATTACAGTTTCTCCAATGAAAGCAGCTTCACCCTGTGCAAATTCTTTCCTTTTTCTCTAGCTTTGACTGCAGACTTTCTCTGATGCATCCCACCCTTGGATTTTTGCCTCTCATTTGTTCAGCAGAAGGCAAAGGCATGCCACCCTGCTTTGAATAATTGGGGGTATTAAGCCTTTTGATTCAGAGGCCTATTCCTCCACTTAGCACAAGCAAGGAAGATTGCAAAAGGCAGAGCAACATGATGGTTAGAAAGTTAAATTACAGCAGGCTGAAAAGGTCACAGCAGGATGGCACATCACTACAATGAGTGGGAATACAGCCGAAGCGGCACTGAAATTCAGAGAGAGGAAGATGAGAAAATAGCTCAACATAATTTCCTCCTTGTCATGACAGAACTGTAATGGTAACTGGCAACTGTAGAAATTTAACTCCTAGTTAGAGCCTGGGGGTCTATAATCAGCCATGGAGGGGTGCTGAAATAATTGATGTGTGCTGAGGTGTTTCAGGTTAACTGAGATATAGCAGCTTGGGCATTGCACCAAGTTTTGCTTGGTTCATGTCGGTGCAAAGAGACTGCGGAAAGTCCCACGGAGTGCTTCCTAGACCACCTCTCTCCCTCATATAAAATCAGTTCATCCCTTTTTACTATCAAAACCTGGCCAGGCTCAGTTTCAGCTGCTTGAGTTGTAGAGGCTCTGAGTCTATGAAGTTCTCCCAAAAACCCATGCTTCTGTCTGTATGCGACAACCCACTTCTTGGAGACACAGTGGGGATGGATGACGCACAGATGCTGGTTCCTGTTGTGTGGACAGTTAATTGTGTGAATACTCAGCTCTATTTATGTTCACTTCTGTTCACCTTTGGCACTTTTGAGACTTGCACTGGTGCAACTCTCAAAGCCACATGATGGGACAGAAGGTGGTCCTTTTTCCCTAGGAAAAGAATGGGAAACCTGAAACTGAGAAAAGACATGGAAGTGCAGGTGAAACAGAGTCATTATGAACGTTTATGGAAGCCAGCTTCCTCCGAGAAAGCTGCTCACAGGTGCTGAAGAAGGGCAGGAGATGAATCCATGGGCACCATTTATCCTCACATATGAGCAGCTGCTCTGCAATGAGGGCTCCAGATCCCAAGCCTCCCCCAAGCCCCAGCTGAAGGAGGTGCAGGACAGAATTGCTGGGCAGGTTGCCATAGATACTGGGCTCCATATGGTAGCTTTCAGGTCTAGATTAGGGCGGTGACAGAAGTAATTGGACAAAAAGAGTTGGGAGAGAGATGAAAAAAAAATCCTGCCTGGGTTCCTCTACTGATCAGAAAGCCTTTCACAGTCAGCATATAAAATGGCTCTAAATGACCGTTTCGCAATGTCTGCTCTAACCGTGTTGTTTCTCAAGCCTGTCTGTCTAACAGGAGATTGTTAAAAGGAACTTATGCTTTAATAGCTCTTTCTGCATTTTCTGATTCATTAGTTTTCCTAATATAAATGCTCCCGGCTTCTTCTCAGCAGGGCAATAAAACAAAGAGAAAGTGCCACTTCTGAGCACCCTCTCAGGACCTCCATTATTTAATGTGCCTCTCCGCTCTGTGTGCGTGTGTGCATGCACGTGTACGCTAAGGGTTGTAAGGGAGGGGAGCAGTGGTGCAGGGCTCAGAGGGGTAAGAACAGATTGAGCAGCAGTTTCTGGTCAGGTGGAACTTTACATGTGCAGGTCAGCTCTCAGTCTAGGTAGTTTTCCTTCCTCCCCTTTGACTTCTTATCCAGACCGCACAGTTTTGATACAGTGAAGTTAATGCTCAGTCATGGGGTGCCTAAATAGAATGGGCAATCCCCCATAAATGCACATGCCGTATGTGTAAATGCCTACTTCCAAAATCAGTTTAAGTGCTCCAATGTGGGATTTTGAGGCCTGTAATAATTGGGCTCAGTTCATTAAACAAACAAATGCAAGTTCAAGTTTAAACTGTGTACAAAAGGACCTAATGGCTGACTGACTGGCTGGGGGTTCAGGCTCTTATGGGAGTGAGCCATTCAATCCTGGCTTGTGTCTTAGAGAAATGGATTGTTTACAATCACCTGCTTCGTTCTCATCTTCACATCATAGACAAAACCCTTGTTCGTGATATGCCCAGCAGCTGAAATGCATAGTACAGGACATGACAATACATGGAGGTATATGTTATACAGAACAAATTAAGGGGGGTGACCTCCAAAAACTCTGTTTTAGAGGATTTAAAGCAAGATTGGACAAAGTGCTGGGGAATTTGCTGTTTGTCACAGTTCTCCAGTGGAAGGCATACACTCAAGGTGACCAGATAGGTGTTTTCAATCACTGACTTCTTGGATTCTATACATGATTTTGTTGCATAAAATCGAATGGGCTGCAGTATGCCATTTGCTGGCATCATACCAGTTGGAGAGTTTGACCCAGATGAGTTTAAGGCTTTCTAATTTAGATTGTCTCCCACTGAAATCCATCATCACTGTTCATCACTTCTTTGTATAGGGGCTAAATTACTTTAATCTTTCCAGGGGAAGGTACCTCACTCAGTAACACCATTTGTTTTTGCTTTGATTTACAATGTAGATATTGGAACTCCCTGAGAAACCTGGTAGTGTCCTTGCTGAACTCCATGAAATCCATCATCAGTTTGCTCTTCCTGCTGTTCCTGTTCATCGTGGTGTTTGCTTTGCTGGGGATGCAGCTCTTTGGAGGACAGTAAGTTAAGCGATTACTCCTTTAACAATCGTTGAATAGCATACCTAATGTTAAAGCACTGGCCCTTGGCAAAAGGCCCAGGAGGAACAAAATGGCTCGGAGTATTTGTAATGGGATACAGAATCTTTTGAATCTAGGTTGATTTTGTCCGTTCTCTGGCTTACAAGAAACGAGTTGCCAGTTTTGGTCTCCTAAATGAACAGCAGTGCAGACAGAAGTTTATTGAAGATGCTACGTTTTGAAACATCTTCATCTGAACCCTCATGCAATAAGGGTTCAGATTTTTGCAGGATTGGGCCCTTTTAAAGAGCTTTGTAGCCATGCACTTCTGTTTGGTCATGGCTGTAGAGTGCTTTCAGTGGTCAGATCAAGAGAAAACTATCACTTCTGTCTGTACCCCGGGTGTTCACAGTACAAAAGCAACCGCCAGAATGGGTCAAGATAGGTGAACTACTCACTGATAAGTTCTCCTTTATGAAGTAAATGTTTAGGCTGAGTAATAGAATGGTGTGGGAAAACTTGCATTGCTGCTGACAGGGCTGTATGTGGTTTATGGATAGATAGAGGACTTCACACACACTTAAGGGCTGTTGACTTAGCATCTTGCAATAGGAATGCATTCCTTTTCCCTTTTTTTTTTAAGAAAAAAGAAAGTATAATGAGCATTAGGTTAACTTTACCAGGTGATTGCATTTGGGTCTTATGCAATGTAGACCACCTGGATAGTGCACTGGATTGGAACTTGGGAGATCTGGGTTCTTGCCCAGGTTTTACCAGTGACTTCCAGGCTGACCTTGAGCAAATCACTTTACCTCTCTGTATCCACCTGTAAAATGGAATTAAGGGTGCTTAACTCTCTTTTAAGAGACTTTTGAATAGAAACTACTATAGTATTAATCTTGTTTCTGGGTACCACAGTCCAGTAAGTATTGTGGCATTGTTCCATAATCTGGAGGCAAGGACATCGTAGCAACTTCTCCTCTGAGGAGCAAGAGAATTCTTTCAGTGATGACTAAAGCTAAATAATTTTTCTCATGTGGAATGTTTGCATACTGAAAAATAGGGTTTTCTCAAACCTGAAGTTTTTAATTAGGAAAATATAATTTTTTATGAAAAAATTCTGTTTTCCATTAAGAAATGTAAAAAAAAAAAAAAAAAA